GGCCGCCCCGCGCTCGGCGGCGCTTCTTTAACCCGTGAATCGAACAAAATAAAAGCGCAATTCCCCGCGACGGGGCCGGGCTGACCCCCCCCACACACCCCTCAAGCCCTTCGCTCCTTTTACACCTCGTTTTTTGTTGGGGTTTTTTTTTTGGCTCATTTACTCCTTCCCCCTCCGATTTTCCAGCCCTTCTCAGGGGTTCGGGTTGCTTTTGGTTTTGCTTTGGTTTCGGAGGGTTTTGGGGCTGGAGAGGAACCGTAAAGGCACGTCAGCTCCCACCGCGGTTAATTTTAGCCTAAAATCCTCTCGTCTTGCCCTAGGTCGTAGCCCTCGGAGATGTCCCCGACGGGACGGTGGTCACGGTGATGGCAGGGAACGACGAAAACTACTCGGCAGAGCTCCGCAACGCCTCCGCCGTGATGAAAAACCAAGTAGCAAGATTTAACGACCTCAGATTTGTTGGGAGAAGCGGCAGGGGTAGGTACTGGCCGGGAAATGGTTGCCCTTTTTATTTTATTTTTTTTAAGAAAAAAAAAAAGAAAGAAAAAAAGAACATGAAGTTTAGTTTTCTATTATTTTTTAATTTTATATTTTATTTTATTTTAACGGCGTATTTCTCGCGGGCCGGTGGTTTCGTTGCTGCGGGCTGAGCTTGTCGCGCGGGGAGGAACCCCCCAGCCCCTATGCGGGGGGGATGCGGGAGCAGCCCCGACTGTCCCCCGCAGCAAAAGCGGCTCTGCCCGGCTCCTCCCGGAGCAGGAATTAAATACACCTCGTTGTAAAACCTCCGCGGCGAGGGAAGGCAGCTCCTCTCAGGTGCAGGGGCTGGCAGCAGCCCGGCCCAAATCCGCCCGAATTTTCCCCATCAGCGAGGTGAGAGGAGGCGGCGGCGCGTCCCCTCCGCAGGTGACAGTGCTCGGGGGCAATGACCCACCCGGCAGCTCGTTTTGAAAGGGTGAAAATCAAGTGTTTAAAGTAAAATAATTACGCAGTGCTCGGCGTGAAGGCAGTGCAGCGGGTAGGGGTGCGGGAAGGCTCGTTTCAGTGGGGGGGTGAGGGCGCGGGGCAGAGCTGGGGGTGCTTTTTTGGGGGGCAGGTTGGTTCATTTTCTCCACGCTTGGTGCAGGGAAAAGCGGGAGAGAAATTTTACCTTGTGGCCGTAGAGGTTGGCTCTATCATTTAGCTTTAAACGGATCATGCCGCTGGCTTTTTCAAAGCAAACCGTCAAAGAAATCGGGCTGTGCCATCCGAGGAGAGGGGGGGGAAAAAAAAAATAAAAATCCCCTGCAAACGCTGAACGGCAGCGGGTGCCGAGGGGGGCAGAGCCCTGCCTGCCCTTCCCTCCCGCCTGATCCCTCGCTGCCGTCCTGGACCTGAATTTCAAACAGTAGAAATAGAATTTCAGCGTTTCATCACCGATCCACACGGCAGATCGAAGCGCTTGATCGTTCGTTTAAACAAAAATGAGAATATTCTACCTTAATGGCCGTATGGCGGCATTTTCTCAAAGGCTTCGAATATACACACACGGTGTCAGATATATTTTGACTTCTCTGCATTAATTAAAAGCAGTGATGTTAGGAATTATTTGCATGTAATAACTGTTTACTTGTTCCTCTTTATGAAACTTGAATAGTTTACATTCTTTCATACATTTCCTTTTTCCTGTTGGCTCCTTCTCCATGTTGCAGTTTCTTTAAAACTCTCCACTTAACTGGTTGCAGGTTGATGGATGGAAAATGTTTTTCTTTTATGAATTACGCTTTCATTTCTGTAATCAATTATTCTGTTAGGCTCTTTCTGCGTCGGGTTTTTTGTTTTGGGTTTGTTGGTTTGTTGTTTTTTGTTTTTTTTTTTTTCTCATTCTCCTTCATAAATTTCCAAACTGAATGCAACCCAATCTCAGCTTGACTCTTGAATTCATTATTAACTTTCTTCCTCTGCAGTCCCAAACTCTGAATTAACAGTAGTTTACAGTCTCAGAAAGCACTTGCGTGAATAGTTTCCATCCTTGGGCAGAGTCCTGGCAAATACTCATTACAGCAGTGGCAACACCTCTGCTGCCTCTATAACAGGCTTCGGAGCAAGGAGTGTAACTGAAGTGCTGATTTATTTTTTTTAAAATGTATTGTTGTGGGATGAGGCTTTGTAATATTGGCAGAGAAATAACCCCGCCGGGGCTCCCCGGGGCTGGCGTGAAGGCGGCTCAGTGGGGTTTTCTCGCACCATGAAGCGCACGGCCGTGCCTTCCCGGCCAGGGGCTCTTTCAGACCTATTTAGCGTGAAAAATCGTTTCTCTTGAATTTTTATTCAGGGTGTCACACTTGCTTTCCCTTGTTTGGCTTCAATTTGTGGAAGCCCGATGCTGGTTTCGTTTACTCTGGCAGAAATCTGGATTCGCTGCAAAATATTCTGTTGGGCCAGAGCTCCGCGTGTGTGTAAATATTTGTGTAAATCCGATGCGTGGCCGTGAGCATCTGTAAACACGCGCGTGTGCCCGAGCTGCGGGAGCCCTGTGAAATGAGAGGCAGCGAGGCTCTCGTTTTGAAAACAGCACTTGAAATGGTTCAGAATTGGGCATTTTTAGTATTAACGTGATTGGGATGGTTTTCCAGCACTGTGAGCTGGGAAGAGCAGGTCCTTACCCC